AAAGGGAACTTCCTCAACTAAGTTCTTACTTAATGGGGAAAGGTTTTATGTTTCCTCCTAAGATAAAGAGCAAGGCAAAGATTACACTCTCATGATTCCTATTCAACATTATATGAAAGGTCCTAACCAATGTAAGAAAAAAAAAAAACCATACAAATTAAAAAAAAAAAAGCTGTTTTTATTTACAGATGAAATAATTACGTGTGTAGAAAATTCTAAGGAATCTACAAAAAAGCTATTGGAATTAATAAGTCGGTTTACCAACATTGCAGGATACAAAGTTAAAATACAAAAGCCCATTCATTTCTATGTACTAATAATGAACATTTGGAAACTGAAAATTTAAAAATTACATTTACAATAGCATAAAAATATTAACTTCTTAGGGATAAATGTAACCAAATATGTCAACACTTATACACTGAAAACCACAAAACACTGCTAAGAAAAATTAAAGAAGATCTAAATAGGTGGAGAAAAATACGTGTTTATGAATCAGAAGACTCAATGCTGTGAAGATACCAATTATTTACAAAATAGTCAGTGCAACACGAAACAAAATCCTAACAATCTTTTTTATGGAAAGGAACACACTGATTCTAAAATGCATAAAGAAATGTAAAGGGCCTAAAATAGCCAAAACAAGTTTGATAAAGAACAAAATTATACAACATGCTTTCAAAACTTATTATAAAGCTACAGTAATCAAGACAGTGTGGTATTGGTATAAAATAGATATACAGATCAATGAAACAGAATTAAGAATCCAGAAAAAGTCCCGATAGATAGATAGATGATAGATAGATGATAGATAGATACAGATGATAGATATAGATAGATAATATAGATAGATATAGATATAGCTAATTTGATTCTGACAAAGATATCAAGTTGATTCAGTGGCATAAGAACAGTCTTTTCAATATATAATACTAGAATCACTTAGCTATATATACAAGGGAAAAAATGACACAACTCATTGAATTAAATTGAAATGGATCATGGACTTGATCCTGAGAGGTAAACCTATAAAATTCTCAAAGAAAACATATGAGAAAACCTTTGCAGTTTTGGATTATACAAAGATTTCTTAGAATGGAAACAAAACACATGAACCATAGGAATAATATTGATAAATTATACTTCACCAAAATTAAAAAGTTCTGTTCGTTAAGATACCATTAAGAAAGTAAAAGATAAGCCACAGTTAGAAAATGTGCAGTGCACATACCAAAGGACATGTATCAAAATATGTAATAAACTCTTACACCTCAATCATAAGAAATCTCTCAATAAAAATGGGCAATGGACCAAGGAAGATACATTAGGCAACATCATTATTTATCAGTGAAATAAAACTTGAAACCACAACAAGGCACCACAACAAACCCATTAGAATGATTAAAATTATTGCTGGGGGAATGCAATATGTTACAACCATTGTAGAAAACGCAGGACTATACAGACAGAATGAAGTCTGTAGTTGTTAATTTGGGGTGTCTATCACACCACCACTTCCTGACAGCTCTCACCTCCCACCACTCCTCATCCACTGGTCCCTTCAGAGCTGAGTTTGTTCCCACCACTGTCTCCTTTTCTGTGCTGCTCGGTTCACTTTCCTCGCCTTTCAGCTAGTCTAAACTTTATACTTCTTTTAGGGCTCAAACAAAGTCACTGGATTCCCCTGTTGCCCCGGCCCACTCTGATCTCGCTCCCCTCTGAACTCCTCTGCCATCTCCCACCTCCATATGTGCAGGACCATGATTAGAACCAGCACTGGGAGATGCACGTGAGTACTAAAGGGCAGCCTCCACATTTTATACCCTTATTTTCCCTGATGCTCAGAACAGGGCAGGCAACCAGTATCTCGTGGTAGCTCTAGCTTCGTATGACCTCCATGTCTATGTATGAACCTTCATACCTGTTTTCCAGCCTCAGGTTGTGTGACACACTGTGCATTATTTTCACCAGGAGATTCAAAACCATCCTCTTCCTCTGCAAGTGGGGCCAACCAAGTCCGGTCATGCTGCTCCCTCATCTCTGGGCCCTTTTTCATCTCTGTGACCAGTGGAATGATGTCTTTGCTTTTGGCAGCAGGGCCTCCTGTCACCTCTTTTTGCCTTGGTAAGTTTTGACTCCTGCACCACTTGTGACAAAAATGCTGAAGAGTATGTATTACAAAGCAAAAAGCCCGGCGGAACCGATCCAGGGCTAACTGGACTTTGGTTTTTTTGGACTCTCCATCCAAGTTTCCATCTCTCTCCTCATTGCTGAAGGAATTGAGCAGCAAGGCAATGAAGAGGTTGAGTACCTGGGGTGGAATGGAGGGGGAACACACAAGGAGAATGGAAAGTTTAGCAGAGGGAAAGATACAGTAGGTTTCCAGAACAAATTTTCCCCAAGACCCAAAACTAAGTCACATGAGGTACTATGTCCTTCGGTCTCCTCAGAAAGTTCATTTATAAAATGAATAAAAGGAGATAAGATCGAGGAAGGCGGCAAGATAAGATGAAAGAAAAATTGAAGTGAAAGAGTGCCAAGAGCCAAGACCAGTTTGTCTACATACAAGCAACACATGTTGTAAACTCTGGCCAGGGTAAAGCAGAACTGTGTGACCACTGGCAAAATAAAAAATGTATATTCCTTGAGGGTCAGTTGAATAGTGAGCTTGGCTTTGCTGGAATGGGATATGGGTCTGATGTCTAATACTGCCATGGAGTCCTCCCCTGTTGGCACAGTTTGAGAGATGATGTGCTTCGTGCAGGCTCTTTAGGTGCTGTTGCCCGAACCACAACCAAGTATTGGAGCTGAACTGGAGGGGTTTGGATAGAATCTGCAGCTCTTCTGTTGAAGCATGGATCACTTTAAATTCAGATCATCTCATCAGCTTCCTACTTGGGTTTTTTTGCTTACATTTACACACCCTCCAATTCATCATCTTCATCTCCTCAAACTCCTTTGTTTGTGGCTGTCACCAGCTCAAAAATATACAGCTTCGGGGAGGAGTGTCTTATGAGTGTGAATGGGTCTAGTCACTCTCCCACAGCTTCACCACAAGAATTCCAGCTGTGGACCTCTGCTCAAGCTTTCCTCTGTTTGCCAAGTCCTCCTTGCCTCTTCAGTGCCCTTCTCAAGTACTGTATCTTCCACGCATCCTTTGTTAACATTTTCTTCCCACTCCCATTGGTTATATTCTGCTCTTCTGAACTTTTGTACCACTTACTATCTATCTAACATTGCTTATCAGGCACATAGGATAAAGCCATTGTGTGCGTGTGGATGGTTCAGTATATTTGCACGATAGCCCCAACTTGATTCTTAAGACCTTGTGCTCAGGTATCCTGTGTGTCTTCTGTCTTTTCATACCCTTACTGGGTACCCAATTAGCTAATAATATCTATGTTTCCAGCTGCAAGTGACAGACTCAAAGCAACTTACACAATAAGAAAATGTAACTTCAGAAGTTTGAAAATAAAACAGAAGGACCAATTATGACATGAAGATTGGTCTGTTCCCCCTTTTTCCTCTACCTTCCTCAGTGCTGGCTTTGTCTTAGGCTAGTTCTTCTCATGCTTGAATAATGTTTGTAGTTCTACCAGGAATCATGGTCATAAAAAGGCCCAGAGAAAATAAAAGGACCATTTTTTTTTAGCTCATCCCTTCTTTTTTCTTTTAAGAACAAGAAACCTTCTCACTAGATGCCCCTTTACAACTTACTGACCAAATTAAGTCACAAACCCCTACCTCAACCATTCGCCAACAAAGAGAATACAATTATCTTAGAATAATCACCTGGTATAAAATAGATATTGGGTCATCAGTTAATATGAGCACTATGTGACAAAGATGTTTTGTTTCATGCTTTTTATAATTTCCTCAAGTCAAATTCAAATGCAGATTTTTAATATCATAAAACATTAAATGTATAATATTATATTTAGAATAATAATTACCAGTGAAGTGTTGCAAAAGAAGCTAATACATCTGTGCAGTCCATATATTTAAAAAAAAATCTAAGACACTCACCACAAGTTTTCCTATCACCATGATCGACAGAAAGACGACAATGCACAGTGCTTGATTTGTTTCTTGCATACATTCCCACATGTTTTCAATCCATTCCCCACAGAGGATGCGGAATACCACCAGAAAGGAATGGTAGAAATCCCCCATGTGCCACCGTCGTAAACATGGGGCTGTAGGGCCACAGGATGTTTTATTGCTCTTTATAGAATTGAATTTAGAGCCAAAGACCTGCATGCCAACCACTGAGAAAATAAAGACCACAATAGCCAGGACCACGGTCAGGTTTCCCAGGGCTCCAACGGAGTGGCCAATTATTTTTATCAGTGTGTTTAAAGTTGGCCAGGATTTGGCTAACTTGAAGACTCTCAGCTGTAAAAACAGACAATAAGCAAAAGTGGAAGAAAAGCCAGTTAAAGACAAATTCCATCTGCTCAGCTATATAGTAAATGACATGCTCCCAAACCACAGCATTTATGATTTTCAAAAATCTTTTCAAAGTCAAATCCATCCTAAACATAGTCATCATCTCCCTGGCCCATGATAATAACTATATCTACCTTTTTGTTTTAAAAATGGAAATATTTTGTTCTAATTTTTGTTAAATGATAAAGACTTTGGAGTCATGATGATGGAATTAAGCATACATGTTTATTGCATAAAGTGAATGTTTTGGAATCCTATATAATATACCAAGGGTCAAAAAACTATGGCCCAAGGGCCAAATCCAGCCCATTGCCTGTTTTTGTATGTCCTGAGAGGTAAGAATGTTTTACATTTTTAAATGGTTGAAAAATAATCAAAAGAAGGGTATTTCATCACACGTGAAAATTGTATGAAGTTCAAATTTTTGCATCCGTAAATAAAGTTCTATTGGAACACAGCCACACCCATTTGTTCTCAAATGTCTATGGCTACTTCCGTGCTACAACAGCAGAGTTAAGTGATTTCAACAGAGACCATACAGCTTGTAAGACTGCAAATATTTACCATCTGACCTTTTATAGAAAAAAATTGCTAACTCCTGCATTATATAATTCAGGTCACAAGTTTGAATCTGAACTTTCTAACAATGATAAGAGGAATATAGTGTTTTATACCCAGGAGAGAAAAAGCAATCAGCTACTCAAAACATACACACATACTTTTTTCAAAAAGAAGTTTTTTCCATGGAATTTTACAGAACCTATGTGAGACAGCACAACAACTAGTTTCATAGGTTATTTCTTATATTAGCTTCCAGCGTAAACCAATGGTTTCACTCCAAAGTACAATGGTGTTAAGTATCAACTCTTTGGGGGAAATACTGTAGGTCAGTAAGACTTATGGCCCAAGAGAAGGAACAGCATTGTGTCCTCAGAAGGGAGCTTGGGGCACCTCAGGGAGAAGTCACGGTTCTGTTATACACAGACAATGCCACAGGGTTCCTCCCCTCAGGGCATGGCTGCAATAAGCCTAAACAATCATGAAGCAAATGTAATTTTGCTCACCTGAGTGCCAATGAAACTTTAGGAGAGCAACTTAATAATGTCTGACTTTGAGCAGTGTGATTGCCTAACATATCCCAAGTATAAAATGTATGTTTAGGTAACTGAAACAAATGTTTTACTCTGTAGTCTTAGAAATCTTATCCCTGCCAAAAGAAAAAGTAAATCTCTGAAAGGACACCAAAGGTCATCTTTTATGGCTTCCCAATCCCCCTGTCAGATGTGGTTTCCCTATAGCTTTCTATCTATACCTCTCATGGGGTTTGTCACACACTCTACTTTGCCTCATTTCTGGCCCTGTCTTGTCTCATCTCTAGATGGCAAACTCCTTGAAGACAGTACTTTCCTTGTCTTTGAGTGCTCCTTCAGGTCAGTTCCTCTCAAGTGCCTCTGCAAAGGTCACCAGAATGCCTCCATGGTCAGCGGGTGGAGGGCAAAGATGACAGGACAGGAACGCGGCACTGGAAGCAGTGAGGAGGAACCTCTTGAGACAGCACCTGCCAGCAGTGCCCGGGGCCCTCCTGGACTCTGCAGTCTTCACCCCTTTGGCAAGCCCAGATGTGAGGGTGCCTGGCTTAGAGCTCAGGGGTGAGTGGTGGGGAAGAGATCATGGGAGGGGGCTACACTAAGCAAGGAGAAGAATCCTGACACCAGAAGATACCATGTTGAGTCAGGTGCCTAAGGGGTCATCTTGGGATGGGGGAGGCAGGGGTTCAGCTGGGAGGAGACCTCCTGGGACTCCCAAGAGTATGCAAAACCTGGGTGGGAGGAGGAGTGCAGTTTTGATTCTCGGATCAAGGTAAGATGAGTTAAAGTTTGATGCAAAATAGCCACTGAACTCAGTCAAGACTCTTGTCAATCCTGGCAGCTAAGGTATTCAGTAAAATAAAACAGTAAGTGCCTTACCACTCTTAAGGGACGGAAAAACAGCAGGCTTTTTTTTTTCCCTGCAACTGTACTGTTCATCACATCTGCAAAACTCAGAAGAGCAACAATGCTGTCAAAAATGTTCCAGCCTCGGCGAAAGTAGTTGTAGGGATCAAGCGCAATAATTTTTAGGCACATTTCTGCCATGAAAATGCCAGCAAAAACCTACAGTGAGACAGGGAAGAATGAGAAAAGGAAGCTACTCCTCCTTGAAGATACACTTCTAAGAATGGTCCAAGGGAATTGCAGAGGTTACAAAGAAACAAAATGCATTTTTATTTACTTTGCTGCTCTCCCCCCTCCCCATCATAGTGCCCATTACAATATTACCAAGCTCACAGACATCAGGGTGGAGAATAAATATTATTTCCCAAGGCACAATTGGCTTCTTGATAGAGGGCAGAGTGATAGAAAGTGTCAAGCAATTCTTCCTCTAAGTTCCCTTTAAAATGCCAATAAACATTCCCAAATGAGGGGAGGGGCAGGATATATAACAGCTCTGAAAACTGACGATAAATATCCTCCATAAAGCAGAATCAGAAGGAGTTCACCTAACCACTCAATCTCAACACCTTGATCAGAAAAAAAAAACAAAACATTTAAAGGGGGCCCAGAGCAAAGAATTGAAAAACACTGCTAGGAACAGGAAAACATCTTTAAGCAACTCAATATATAGGCTTACCCTACATGATGAAAATCTTGGGACAAACCCTAGGTTGGTTATGGTTGAAAGGAGGGTTAGTGAGTTGGAATATAATCCTAAATCCTATAATTCACCCACAGAATGCAGGGTTCATTATTCCAGAACAAAATACCAAAAAATTAAAAGGAAGGGCAAGAGTTAAGAAAGTGCTAAACTATGTGATTTCCATGGGCACAAATAAGTGTTTTTGTTTTTGTCTTTGAAACTTAGATAAACACAGGCTTAAAAACATTGCACAATGTTGAATAAGTGGTAGCCAAATTCAAAACTAAATCTATCATCTACATCTTTGTAGAAGATAAAACAAAGCATTTCTTCATAGCAAATAGCATATTCTGACACAGACACAACTAAATAGATATGAGAAAACAACAGTGTGAAAATAATAAGGTAATACAAGAAGGTTGTCAGTAATAAGACTCTCCTCTATAGTTCTGGAAAAGAAAAACAACTCAGAAATGATTTTTAAATCTCCATAATAAAAAAAAATCTCCTTATTAAAAGTAACAGATGATCCATTTTTATAAATAATTTGATGACTTACTATTTATTTTAAAAATCCCTAAAATAAAGTGACACAAGTTAAAAAAGGATAGGCAAAGACAAATCCAAGATAGACGAAAAGAAAAGAAATCAAGGTGGCAAAGAAAACCCAAAGCTTGTATCTGTCTTTTCCCTTTAAATATTGCTATCTACCTCTGCCCAGAGCCACGACCAGTGCCTAAAAGCACGCAGTGTTACCTATTGTAGTTAATTGTGCTGGACTGATCCCTGTCCCCTTTTGAGCTCCTCCTCCGCCTCCTGTCTCCTTCAGGCTTTACGTGTCTAGCCTTACAGCAAAACCCTACATGTCTTGGAACCATTGGTTTGCCATCCAATTCAACCGCTATTCATGGCTTCTTGGGAGCTCAGTGTACTCCCCTGATTCAAGCAATACCAAAGCCTAGAGAGTTCATTTCCAAGTCCAGTCCCACAGAACTGCACAGGCCAGTTGAATCCTGGTCCACCTGTCAGAGGAGGCAAGTTTGGATGTGTTCTTTGGTACCCAAGGCTCCAAAGCCTCCCTCTACCACTGCTATGGGGGTACAGTAGATGAGGTGGCTACCACCTTTGTATTGTGTGTTAATTTATTTTTTTAAAGATTTTACTTATTTATTTGAGAGAGAGAGAGAGAATGAGCTGGAGGAGGGGCAGAGTGAGACGGAGAAGCAGACTCCCCGCTGAGCAGGGAGCCCCATGTGGGGCTCTATCCCAGGACTCTGGGATCACTACCTGAGCCGAAGGCAGCCGCTTAACCAACTGAGCCACCCAGGCGTCCCAAGGTATTGTGTGTTTAGGGAATGGGGTACATGGAATGGAAGCACAGGCTACAAGGCCAGTTCTGCCTGTTTCTCATCAGTTTTCAGGGGCTGGGGTACAGCTGCTGCCTGTGAACTCAGACACCAACAATGTCCCTGTGCCTCCTTCTGTACCACTTCTGGGGAGAGTGAAGAAGAATGTCACTTAATTATCCAGCTTCTGACTGCAAAATGCAGCTTCACCTCAACACCCAGAACAACTAGTCAGTGGGAAATCTGAGAGCGTGGCTTTTGTCATTTCCCACTGCTGGATCAGCAAATGAAGGGATGGACAGACCACTTTTGCAAACTGGGAAGCCCTGCCTAGGAGCATGACTCTGGGTTCTTTGGGTATTCTCTGGAACTTATCTAATAACTCCATCTACCAGGAGGTGCTGAAAGATAGGTCTGCTGACTCTGCTGAGGCAGGAACCTGCAGGCACAGCTTTCTGTCTTCAAGGGAAACAACACTGTCAACCCATTTCTGGGATACATCATCAGGAGACAGCTGAATACCATGGCCTGGAGCCCAGAAGATACCAGCCTGTTAGAAGGTACCATGTGTGTTAGGTTCATCATGCAGCATGAAATATAATCTGATCCACACACACCTACAGAGCACTTCTTCCCAAGGGCAGTTTGGGGAAAGAAACTTAAATGTAGACTGTCTGTAAGGAGAACCACTCTGGCCTTGCCCTGTGGTCCCGCTGTATCCCTGTACCTCCTGAGAGGGACATGGAACTGAGGGTAACCTCAACCTGATGCATAGAAGCAGCTCTGTGAACCAGTTTCTGATTCAATAAGTATAGTGGATTCTGATCAGTGTAAAATAATTAATTAAAAAATACATGCATATACATTGACTAGAGATCCTCTGCAATGCTAAAAATGATCATCTTTGCTAATAGGACCATAGGAAATGAGTTCTTCTTTGTATTTCCCTTATTTGTACTTTTCCTTATTTTTAAAATTAAAAAAAGCGTGTATTGCTTCTTAAGTTGGAAAAATAAAATAAAACCTTAAGAATAAATGGTTAGATATTCTGGTAAGATTAACTCATTGGCTAATTAAGGTAGAACATTCAGTGGGTAATTTTTTGTTATTTCTGATATTTGGGAGACTAATCCTTGGAGGGGGGAAATGCCTTCTCCAGGAACAATAAATAGAACAGCTCATGGGAAGTCTGCTCTCCTATCTAAGTTTTCCCAATTTAACTGGGACTAGATCCATCCAATGAGAAACATACTGAAGCAGGCTGAAGTCTGGAGGCCCCACTACCACTCCATAAGCTCTGCACAACTCCTCCTGGGAAAGTATGCCTCCCACAGCTGCCAGGCCCTGACCCATCTTTCCAGGGGGAATAACAGCTAGTAATAGCAGTCACATTATTTTGTGACAAATGATGTCATCCATATCACCAGGGATCATGGGACACATTACCAGGGTCTCTGGATATGGTTAACGTTTTCTTGATCATCCCAAATGGCTGAACTTTTAAGATGTCTGCTGGCTTCCTGCTTCCCACTGGATGACTAAAGAGATGCCTTAGCATACCAGAGAGCCCACACAGGGCCCATGGAAAATTACTGAACTGGGTAAAAACAAAATCCTAACAGTCATCTTCTCCCTCAACTCTACTTAATGGGACCAAAGACCTAGGCTAGGTTAGGCCATTCGCAACATGTTTAGACTTTGAAAGAATTATAATTCACAGTTTGAAATATTTTTATATTTTAAAAAGCCTGAAGTTACCAAATTCCCTATATGCAACATAGAATCAAAACTCCGGCGCATGTTGTAATGATCCATGGCCAAGAAGATAGTGTTGATGATGATACAGATGGTGATGGCCAGCTCAGTAAATGGGTCAGTCATTACGGTTCTCAGGGCCTTCTTAATGCACACCCACTGGGGGCTACAGTTCCACACGAGGTATTTGGATGCCAGGTTTCCCCCACATGGGAGGCAAGGCTCCTGTGATTTTTCTTGTTCTGGAGAAGGAGAATGTGAAAGAGCAGTGAGTAGTTAGCTCTGAATCCATCTGACTGCTATTGGCCTGAGTGCATTCCTTCCTCCCACTTCCCTAGGGTCTCCTATGAACAACGCCAAGAAGGGCACTGATGGGTGCAGCTGGAAAGTTTTCCCATATGCAACTTCCATGTGGTATAACCATGTACATCTAGTCTTTATACTTGTATTTAGCATCTGGGAGCTGGGCTGCATGGCTAGAGATACAGATATGGAAGCCAATACTGGATGTGAACCCATGAGAGAGAGAAATATAAGCTCAAGTTATGTTCATTCAAGGCAGACCATGGTGACAGCTGTAACAGAGGCACATAGAGCTACCAGGGCTCAAGGGAAGGAGAGGTATTCAGGCAGGGGTATCTACATGCATTGAAAGAAAATGTCCTCTCCAGCTGGTTGAGTTCAGGCCATAAGGCTGCTGGACCCCTGATTTCCCTGGCACCATTTCAGGGACTCATGCCAGCCAAATGAGTTGATACAACAGGCTCAAAAGTGTTAAGGATCAATCTGACCCCACCCTTGTAAGGACTTGAGTCCTGCCTTTGAACCCAACCCCTTAGTTGGGTCCTGGTTACCTGCTGTTAATAAGGTCCATCAGATGGTTCCAGCCTATCTACATAGATCTTCCATCGTCCATGCCAGATTCCTAACTCTAACCTCAAATACAACTGTCAACTACTGGAAACTTCTGTGTCTTCTCTTCTTTGGTCACTATCATTGTCACTGCAACCTCATGTGACTGCCTGGCCTGATTGGGAGGTCCTGTCTGTACTCTTGGTCCCAAGTCCCATCACAAGGCTAGCCAGTTTGCACCACTACCCAAGGGCCAACTCAGGGTGGGCCCACTTCTTCCGAGTCACTTAGCTCACATGCTCCAATGAGGCACAAGAAGTGACTCTGCAGGAAATACAGGGGGCTTCAGAGGGCTTCTGGGGGAGGAGAGGAGAATGGAGGGACATCACTGCAGTTAGGCTCTCCCTGGGGCTGGGAGGCAGAGCTTACCCTGCACGGTGATGGTGAGGATGCTGACCGCGCTCAGGGCCCTCTGTCTTTGGAAGGGGTCCCTGTGCTCATCGAAGTAATCCACTGACAGATTCTGGGATAGTCGTTTGGTTTGCTCTAGGATGTGTGGCTGTAAGAGAAGGCAGGCATGACAGACCTTCAAAGCAAAGAGGCTGCCTCTCCTCAAAACTTCACAAGCTACTTTGTTTCAATGCCACATGCCCCAAAGACACTTCATATCTTATATAGGTCCACTCACTCCCATTTCATGGCACACTGAAGGTTCAGTTTTTGTATTTCATATTTAGTAGATAAGTGCAATATAGTTTGACCATTCATATTTCTTATGCATGCACATTTCCAGGGTCCCAGCTACAGAAAATTTTCTTCCTCTGTGATTTATTCATTGTCAACAAAGAGCAAGCAAAATTTTATAAAAATGAATGAGCAACAGTTCAGGGTACAAAAGCAATAAAAAATTGAATTTAGAAACAATGTTTTTGGGTGGCAGAAGTGGGGGATACATTTAGAAGGGTGGTTTGGGGCCAGATGGTGAAGTGCCCTGAATGGCTGCCTAAATTGATTTGAAAACAGTCAGTAACTTAAAAAGAACAGCCAAAATACATACAACAACTTCTATATACTAAACCTCAAGCACTCCTTCAGGCTGTGCCCAGGAACTTGACTCTCACTTTACCTCCAATTCTACAGTCTCTGGAGGTGAAAAGACATAAATCTCCAGATACCTAGAAAACTATCCATAATGACTTATTTCCCCAGAGTTCTGACCAACCAGGGCCCCAGAGGGAACTATCCCTTGTGATAAGCTATTTTAAAGGCAATCTATAGTCTTTCTATAGCTAGTTCTCTTTCGGTTTAGGGAAAAGACTTCTTATTAGCTGTCTGTTCTTGGTCTATTGTTTTGTGAAATGAGGAAAAACCCTCAAAATATTAAAAGATACTTGCAGTCTCTTCAATATGCTATCACCTGACATTAAAGAAGGCTCTAAACCGAGAGATCTGTCCCTGTCATTCCATCAGAGAGCTGCTCACAGCAGTGAATGAGGTTTGTCCACCTACTTCTGCAAAGACTCCCAGACCCCCTTTCCCCACCCCACCCTCAGGTGTGCACAGCCCCCTTCTGACCACTTCACCTCTTCCTTCCATCTCAGGAAAGTGGCTCTAGTCATTATTCCATGGTCTGTATCTTCAACATTTTCCTCTCCTCTGAAGTTTCTCTCCACAATTAAAACATGTTTGAACATTCCCCACCTCACTGATTAAAAAAAGGGGGAGGGCTTTTTTCCTACCGCACATCTCCCCATAGCTTCATTTCTGCATATCCTGTGGCCTACTCAATATCCCTGCTAGGATGCCCCACAGGCATTTCAAACTTGCCACGTTCAAAACTGAACTTTCCTTCTTCCCCACCGCCAAGACATGTTTCTTTCCTGTCTCAGTAAACTACCCTCTATCAAGTTGGCTACCCAAGCCATCAACCGGGCATCTTCCCCACCTTGTACATCTAGTCGACTGCTGAATCTTATCTTCTGGAGATCACTGCACCCTGTTATTCTCTCTTCATCCTCCCGCCCTAACCACAGTTTAAGCCCCTGTCGCCTCTTGGATTACTGCCACAGCTTTTTTTTTTTTTTTGGTTTTCATGTAGAAAGCATATTTATTTATTTAATTATGTTCATTTAGCCAATATATAGTACATCTTTAGTTTTTGATGTAGTGTTCAACAATTCATTATTTGCATATAACACCCAGTGCTCATCACATGTGCCCTCCTTAATACCCATCACCCAGTTACCCCATCCCCCCACCCCCCTCCCTTCTGTAAC